TGGTCACTCACTCACGTGGTCACTCACTCAGCGTGGTCACTCACTCACGTGGTCACTCACTCAGCGTGGTCACTCACTCAGCGTGGTGACTCACTCAGCGTGGTCACTCACACAGCGTGGTCACTCACTCGGCGTGGTCACTCACTCAGTGCGGTCACTCACTCAGCGTGGTCACTCACTCAGCGTGGTCACTCACTCAGCGCGGTCACTCACTCGGCACGGTGACTCACTCAGCGTAGTCACTCACACAGCGTGGTCACTCACTCACGTGGTCACTCACTCGGTGTGGTCACTCACACACGTGGTCACTCACTCGGTGTGGTCACTCACTCAGCGTGGTGACTCACTCACGTGGTCACTCACGTGGTCACTCACTCACGTGGTCACTCACTCACGTGGTCACTCACTCGGTGTGGTCACTCACTCACGTGGTCACTCACTCAGCGCGGTGAATCACTCAGTGCGGTCACTCACTCAGCGTGGTCACTCACGTGGTCACTCACTCAGCGTGGTCACTCACGTGGTCACTCACTCAGCGTGGTCACTCACTCAGCGCGGTCACTCACTCACGTGGTCACTCACTCACGTGGTCACTCACTCAGCGTGGTCACTCACTCGGCGTGGTCACTCACTCAGCGTGGTCACTCACACAGCGTGGTCACTCACTCAGGGTGGTCACTCACTCGGCGTGGTCACTCACTCAGCGTGGTCACTCACGCGCGCGGCGCATCGGCCTGATGAATACGGGAATCGGAATACAGTAAAACCTTGGATTGCGAGCATAATTCGTTGCGGAAACGTGTTTGCAATCCAAAGCACTCGTGTATCAAAGCACTCGTGTATCAAAGCACTCGTTGTATATCAGTTGTGATCACGTGACGCTCGGCAGACAAAGCGTATACACGGACGCTGCTCGTATTGCGAGACCCTCACTCGTTTATCAAATTTATATTAATTAAAAAAAAATTGCTCGTCTTGCAAAACACTCGCGCAGACCAAGTCGCTCGCAATCCGAGGTTTTACTGTATTTGTTTACACTGCAGGGGCAATCCCGACGGAGACACGACGCTCCTCTTCACAGATGTCTGGCGAAAGGGTGCCTGGGTCCGAGCGTTGCAACAACGCTACGGGAGCAGTAGGCAAAGCGCGATGGGAGTGTGGCAAGTCGACTCGAACGCCGCAGTCGATCGTCAACAACCGAGGTGGCCTTCGAATCGCCCCGGCTCCAGCCTGTACGCCGAACTTCTTTGGCACCATACGTAGGGAACCGTGGGGTGGAAGGACAAACTACCAGTCGCTGTGCGAGTCTATGGGCCTCTGTGCGAGTCTGTGGGTCTCTGTGCGAGTCTGTGGGTCTCTGTGCGAGTCTGTGGGTCTCTGTGCGAGTCTGTGGGTCTCTGTGCGAGTCTGTGAATCTCTGTGCGAGTCTGTGGGTCTCTTTGCGAGTCTATGTAGCCAACGGCGGCTAATCGGAGGTGCGAGGGGGCAGTCTCTGGCAGTGCGCAGAGGGCCCAAGGGAGGAGGCCAAGAGGGCCCAATCGTTGTGGGTGAGCGGTGGCGCAGCAGTTAGCGCGCTGTGCTACAAACCTGGTGAACCGAGTTCAATTCCCACCGACGGCCACCGACACCAGCAACGATTATGTCCTGGACCTCCCCTAGGTCGACTCAGCCTAAAAAATGAGTGCGTAGTGAAATCATCGCCACTTGCGGAGACAACGGTGGCCGGGTCGTGGTGCTGGCCACACACCCACAAGCCCGTGTGCCGTGCCGGCCTTGATAAGTGCCGCTCGCTAACAGCACTTGCCCCCACACAGCCTGTTACAGGCTACACGGAGGGGGGCGGGGGGGGGGGAGATCTTTGGGCCAATGGGCGAGCACTCATTACCCGGTCGCCTAAAAAAAACGAGAACTGTGTCACACGACGCTTTGCTGACCAATGGCATCGCTTGGTCCGTGGGTCGATTGGGAATCAATCGACGCGGCGATCAACCCGGCAAATCATGGTTCGCCTTTTGAGCCGGCTGCCGGATCGACCGAGGGGAGAAGCGACACGGATCAACCTCGATTCGTGATCCGCGAGACCATATTCAGGGGACTCCGCTACTTACGAACGAGTCGGGTTCCAGATGTATGTTGATTAGTTCGCAAGTCCAACTTGACTCCTGTCGATTCCAAACATGTTGTACGGCGTGTACACTAAACACGAGGAATGGCTTTAAAAGTTGGATAATCTCCTGTAGATGCACGTTCTGCAGATGTAGATGCCACTGTTCTTCACGTTCTGTAGATGCCACTGGTTCTTCACGTTCTGTAGATGCCACTGGTTCTTCACGTTCTGTAGATGTAGATGCCACTGATTCTTCATGTTCTGTAGACGTAGATGCCACTGGTTCTTCACGTTCTGCAGATGTAGATGCCACTGGTTCTTTACGTTCTGCAGATGTAGATGCCACTGGTTCTTCATGTTCTGTAGATGCCACTGGTTCTTCACGTTCTGAAGATGCCACTGGTTCTTCATGTTCTGTAGACGTAGATGCCACCGGTTCTTCATGTTCTGTAGATGTAGATGCCACTGGTTCTTCACGTTCTGTAGATGTAGATGCCACTGGTTCTTCACGTTCTGTAGATGTAGATGCCACTGGTTCTTCACGTTCTGTAGATGTAGATGCCACTGGTTCTTCACGTTCTGTAGATGTAGATGCCACTGGTTCTTCACGTTCTGTAGATGTAGCTGCCACTGGTTCTTCACGTTCTGTAGATGTAGATGCCACTGGTTCTTCACGCTCTGTAGATGTAGATGCCACTGGTTCTTCACGTTCTGTAGATGTAGATGCCACTGGTTCTTCACGTTCTACAGATGTAAATGCCACTGGTTCTTCACGTTCTACAGATGTAGATGCCATTGGTTCTTCACGTTCTGTAGACGTAGATGCCACTGGTTCTTCACGTTCTGTAGATGTAGATGCCACTGGTTCTTCACGTTCTACAGATGTAGATGTCACTGGTTCTTCACGTTCTGTAGATGTAGATGCCACCGGTTCTTCATGTTCTGTAGATGTAGATGCCACTGGTTCTTCACGTGCTGTAGATGTAGATGCCACTGGTTCTTCACGTTCTGTAGATGTAGATGCCACTGGTTCTTCACGTTCTGTAGATGTAGATGCCACTGGTTCTTCACGTTCTGTAGATGTAGATGCCACTGGTTCTTCACGTTCTGTAGATGTAGATGCCACTGGTTCTTCACGCTCTGTAGATGTAGATGCCACTGGTTCTTCACGTTCTGTAGATGTAGATGCCACTGGTTCTTCACGTTCTACAGATGTAGATGCCACTGGTTCTTCACGTTCTGTAGATGTAGATGCCACTGGTTCTTCACGTTCTGTAGATGTAGATGCCACTGGTTCTTCACGTCCTGTAGCTGTAGATACCACTGGTTCTTCACGTTCTGTAGATGTAGATGCCACTGGTTCTTCACGTTCTGCAGTTGTATATGCCACTGGTTCTTCACGTTCTGCAGATGTAGATGCCACTGGTTCTTCACGTTCTGTAGATGTAGATGCCACTGGTTCTTCACGTTCTGCAGATTGTAGATGCCACTGGTTCTTCACGTTCTGTAGATGTAGATGCCACTGGTTCTTCACGTTCTGTAGATTTAGATGCTACCACCGCCGTCTATAGCGCGGCGGTAGAACTTACGACTCTCGGTCCGAACAGGCAACTGGACATACGGACCAGCGTTGTTAGTATCTCTCTGAAAGTCCGTAAGTCGATTGTTCGTAAGTAGAGCAGTCCCTGTACGGGCAACGCCATGGTGGCAAAGATGTTAACTACCTCGCCTGGTATACAGGAGGTCGTGGGTTCGATCCTGACCCGAGTTTGCGTGTCTCTCCCCATGGTCACGTGAATTTTTCTCCGGGTTCCTCCTGTTTTCCCCTCCACGTTTAGAATCAACATCACGCTTTTTCAGAGTATTTAGCCGATATAAATATCCACATGATGCGATAGCCAGGTCGCTTCTGAAAAAGAGCTGCTATACAGCAGGTCAGTGTGGGCCTTGGTAAAATAAATAAAAAACAGTTAAGTAAAAAAAATTAAACACCTTTCTTCTATATATGCGCGTGTCCAATTTTATTTTGTGCTACAGCGCCCCCACGTGACAATCACGCGGCGTGCCAGCTGCGTCTGTTGTTCAGAATCACACTTAACGTCGCCGACGGCATCGTCCGGCCCTTTCCTCGCCGTCCGTCTCCTCTCAAGCCATCACCACCACCACCACCGCCACCGCCACCACCACCACCACCGCCACCGCCACCACCGCTACCCACTACTACCCCGTACAACCGCTTAGATTCACGTCGTTTTCCATATTCGTCCTGGCGCCTTTCTGGGAGGCATCGCCGCCTACCTCCCCCGACGTTATTACTGTAAATATATAAATGTATAACAGGCGACGTTCCGGGCAATGGGCCTTCTTCATAGCACACGGACAAACCCTTCAAATGATCGACGAGCCATCAGCTGCCAAACAAACTAATTTGCGTAAAAAAAAAATTGTGTATATGCATTAAATGTTAACGTACACGGATCAGAGAGGCGGATATTGATCAGGACAGAGGAGCAGTAACGGAAAAGTGCGCATGGCAGCGTGGGAGAGATGCGCGCTGGCAATCACGGCGGGAGACGAGGGATGAGCGCGGGGATCAGAGGGACACGGGAGGGGGGTTCGGGGGGGGGGCGATGACATCAGAGGCAATGACATCACAGGGGATAACAATGACATCGCGGGTGATGACATCGCAGCCGATGACATCACTGGGGATGACGTCGCTGCTAGATGGAGGCCTGTGGAGGCCTGTGGAGGCCTCCATCCAAGAGCGGATCGATCGTGGCTGACGATGACGACGACGATGATGCGTGCGTACGCCTACTTCCAGGGCCCGCGGCCCGATCGCCCCCCTGTGGCCCGGTGGCGGAGTCGAACCGTGGTGGTGCCAACTCACCGTTCGCGAAATGGTTGGCGCCGGTGGCAGAGTCGATGGGGACCTTCTCGTACTTGCCAGGAGCCACCATCACGAACTTGAAGCGCTTGCCGCTGGGGTTGCCCTGCAAAGGGGAAGGGCAGGCGGGCAAGGCAGTGAGCGAGCGAGAGCGAGAAAGTGAGCGAGTGAATAGTGAGCGAGGAGTGACTAGCGAGTGAGCAAGTAGAGAGCGAGTAGCGAGCGAGTGGCGAGCGAGTGACTCGTGAGCGATTGAGTAGTGAGTGAGTAATGAGCGAGTTAGTGGTGAGTGAGCGAGTGAGTAATGAGCAAGTAGCGAGCGATTAGTGAGTGAGTAGTGAGTGAGCGAGCGAGTCACCTTGCTGGGAGCTGCAGCTGATTTCTCCGGTGCGCTGCCAGCGCTCGGCTTACTCTCCCAGATGCTCTTCTTCGTGGAGACATCACCCGGTCGGATGTCCTGCACATCAGCATCAACATGATCGTCATCATCGTCGTCGTCATCATCATCATTATCATCAGACATCATAATCGTCGTCATCATCGACGTCGTCATCATCGACGTCGTCATCATCGACATCATCATCATCGACGTCATCATCATCGTCATCATCATCGACGTCATCGTCATCGTCATCATCATCGACGTCATCGTCATCATCATCGTCATCATCATCGACGTCATCGTCGTCATCATCATCGACGTCGTCATCACGAGACATCAGGATCTCCGAGTCTGCGGACATTTTAGAAATGCGCCTTAAAACCTATTCATACGTTTATACATATTAGAAGTTTACTTCATTTAGTAAATTATTTTTAAGATGTATTTATAATATTATTTTTATGCTGAGTGTCCTGCTGCTGCTGTGTCCTGTACAGCGCTTTGAGGTCCTTGATGAAAAGCACTATACACATATAATGACTTCCATCATCGTCATCATCGTTATCATCGTCGTCGTTATCACCGTTATCATCGTTATTGTCATCATTATCGTCGCTATCAACGACATCCTTATCATCAACGTCACCACCATCGTCAGAGGGGCCACCGTCCCCAACATTCTCCCCATCAACGTCGTGTCACATTGTCATCACCGTCACCACCACTATCCCATTAACTGCATCTCGCAGTGCACTTTGCACGCAGGCTCTTCTCGCGAGCTAGTCGAGTCAAACGCAGTGCGTCTCCCTGCTCAAAAAGCGCGAGCATTCCACGTTCTCATGGCGGTGGGGCCAAGTCCATCCATCCAATAATTATGACCGTTAAACTTCCCGCAATGTGGTGGTGGTGGTGGTGGTGTTTATCAACCCCAGGAGAACGATTGGCCGACTCAATGATGACACGGTTTTGAACTCCTCGCCCCGGTGCGCACCGTGCAAGTGCACGGTGCGCAGGCGAGTGGTTTAGTCTCACCGCAAACTTTGATATGTCACCCAGCAAGCGAGGAACGTTGAGCCGACGTTGGGGCAAGCTCACGGGGTCAGTCCTGGTGAGCTCGCGAAATTAAATGGCACGCAACGACACGCGTGCCTATGCTCACCGGTGGCGACTCAAAGCCTCCGGGCGGTGCGTGTTAACTCGGCGCCCGAGTTGGGGTTTTGAGCGCGTGATTTTTGTTTTAGTTATAAACAAACATAAGGCAAACGGAAAGGGTCAAACCCCCACTCGGGCGTTGTAGATTCTCACCTCTCGCCGCTAAATTCTCAAATCTGACAAAAGAGAGGACACGCACACACCAAAAAGGATGAAGATCCCACTCCCCCCCCCGCCCCCCGTTGCAGTCTTAACCGGCGTTTTGGGAAAGTGCCGTTAACGAGGAGGCACCAATGAAGGCCGGCACGGCACGCAAGTGGGTAGGTGGCCAGCGCCATGTCCGTCTACAGTTGTCTATGCATACGGCACTAGCACTGGTTCAGATAATCGTCAATGGTGTTGGTGGCTGAGCCTGAGCTGGGCCCGAGTGTTGGAGGCCGAGCCTGAACCAGGCCCCGAGTGTTGGAGGCTGAGCCTGAGCTGGGCCCGAGTGTTGGAGGCCGAGCCTGAACCAGGCCCCGAGTGTTGGAGGCTGAGCCTGAGCTGGGCCCGAGTGTTGGAGGCCGAGCCTGAACCAGGCCCCGAGTGTTGGAGGCCAAGCCTGACCCAGGCCCCGAGTGTTGGAGGCTGAGCCTGAGCTGGGCCCGAGTGTTGGGAGGCCGAGCCTGAACCAGGCCCCGAGTGTTGGAGGCCAAGCCTGAGCCAGGCCCCGAGTGTTGGGAGGCCAAGCCTGAGCCGGGCCCCGAGTGTTGGGAGGCTGAGCCTAACCTGGCCCCGAGTGTTGGAGGCCAATCCTGAGCCAGGCCCCGAGTGTTGGGAGGCTGAGCCTGAGCTGGGCCCGAGTGTTGGAGGCCAAGCCTGAGCTGGGCCCGAGTGTTGGAGGCCAATCCTGAGCCAGGCCCCGAGTGTTGGGAGGCTGAGCCTGAGCTGGGCCCGAGTGTTGGAGGCCAAGCCTGAGCCAGGCCCTGAGTGTTGGGAGGCCGAGCCTGAGGCGGGCCGCGGCTCAGAGTACGGCTCAGAAAAGTGTCTCAACGCGCTTCTCTACAAGCCCCATGTACGTCTCTGTACCACGACGCACTCCTCTGTGCCCCCAAGTCCCCCGTGTAACCTGTCTGTAACACTGTGTACGCCTGCGGTTACCCCTCTCTCTGTGTACCAACTCTGAACTTGCGCGTGACCCTCGGTGCCCCTTCTGTACCCCCGTGTACCACCATGCACTTCTGTGTACCCCTTGCGCACCCCCCTGTGCCTGTGTGTACCCCCGTGAGCCACAGTGAGCACCCGTGAGCCACGTACGGAGGGACGGGCGGCGCTCCCCTTGGCGGTTCCCTCCTCGTTCTTGTTGCTCCACTGGCTGATTCGGCTCGCGATGCCGACGTTCAAACCCGACACGTCCTGCGGGGAGACACGCAGGGGGAAACATGGGAGAAACACGAGACGCGCAGGGAGACGCGGGGACACACACACACACACACAAGGACATGCGGGGACACGGGAGACACAGGAGACACACACAGGGAGACGTGGGACACAGGGGAGACACAGGAGATGCACATGGACACACGGGGACATGGTGAGGTACGAGGAAGACATGCAGGAACACACGGGGAGGTGCAGGGGATAGACGCAGGGCCACAGGGGAGGTACAGGGGACACGCGAGGACACGTGAGGACACAGGGGAAGATGTGGGGGCAGGCGGAGGCTCAGAGATGATGCAAAGGAGACGCACAAGGAAAACACGCAGGGAGACGAGGGGGGGGGGGGCCATGAAGACACACGGTTAACCTCGTATTCTTGTACAGGGAAATTGAGTTGTCAGGTCCATACGGCGTACAGCCGTTTCAATACGGGGGAAAAAACTTTTTTTGGTCTATCTGTTTGTGTTTCTCCCTCGTGATGGGCCTTTGTAGGATGAACGTTGAGATTTATACGGAGCACGGGGTGAACAACAAGGTTTAGAATTGGTCTGTAATAAGGCAGACACTGATAAGGGGTTGACAGCCATGGTTCCTTCGGCGAATGTGAGCGACGAATTAATGGATGGTCTAATTAAATTAAAACGTGGAACGTCAATGAAAGCATTTCCTGAAGAAAAATACATAATTCAAACCGCGTATTCAGCGAGTTGTTGTGTCTTCTTCGACACCCGTTGTTGAAAACAAATCGCACGGTGGTTGTCAAGGAAGGGGGCCGCCCCCAACTCGTAGCTTTGGGGGGGGGGGGGAGGAGTTGGGTGGGGGGGGGGGGGGCGTCAAGGCACCCCCCCCCCCCCCCGCCCCCCCGCGCTCGTCAGGCTACCCCGGTGGGCCGCCGTACCCGGGTGGGGTTGCCACGTGGCGACGTTGGAGAGGCCACGTCACCGCGCTCGAAGAGGCTCTTCCTGAGCGCCACGCTGTCCGCCGGCAGGGGAACCTCCACCGCCAGCGGGCGCACCGCCCTGCCGGAGCCTCGCACCGCGCTCTGCTGCACACAGACGCAAAGGTTCTTCCATGTAGCCCACACACACACCCATAGACTCGCACAGAGACCCATAGACTCGCACAGAGACCCATAGACTCGCACAGAGACCCATAGACTCGCACAGAGACCCATAGACTCGCACAGAGACCCATAGACTCACACAGAGACCCATAGACTCACACAGAGATCTCTAAGGAATGCAGAATCATCACAGTAACGATGATTCACCACTCCGCTCCGGGCGATCTCGCGCAGCCCCCGACAATACACAAATGTGAAAAAACCCCCACACGTCACCAACACGTCACCAACACGTCACCACACATCACCAACACGTCACAAACACGTCACAAAGATGTCACCACACGTCACCAACACCCCACACGTCACAAACACGTCACCAACACGTCATCACACGTCACCAACACCCCACACGTCACCAACACCCCACACGTCACCAACACCCCACACGTCACCAACACCCCACACGTCACCAACACCCCACATGTCACCGTGCCATCAAACCCAACAATGGTTTCAAACGTGTGGCGGCCAACACACTGACGATGTCTTATCGGAGAAAGTTGCCTCCCCGCCCCCCGCCATGAAAATGAGTGAAGAACGCCGCTCCAGATCGACGTCGTCAGACAGAATGAAGGAGGCAGCAGCAGCTGGAAGAAAAATAAGACTAAGAAGAAGAAGACTAAGAAGAAGACGAAGACGAGGACTAAGAAGACGAAGAAGAAGACGAAGAAGAAGACGATGGAGATGAAGAAGAAGAATAAGAAGAAGAAGAGGACTAAGAAGACTAAGAAGAAGACGAAGACAAAGATGAAGAAGACTAAAAAGAAGACGACGACGAAGATGAAGACGAAGATGAAGACGATGAAGAAGAGGACTAATAAGAGGACTAAGAAGACGACGATGATGAAGACGAAGAAGAATGAGAAAAAGACGAATGAGAAGATGAAGAAGAAAAGAAGATGACGAAGATGAAGAAAAAGGAGGACTGCTGTGCTTTGCGGAGATGTGGACACGTGTCCGGGGCGTCAGGGGCCTCTCACCTCGACGGCGCTCGTGTACAGCTTGGTGTCGATCTTCGATATGGGCCGTGGTGACTTGAGGCTGTAGCTGTGGAGAGGTGTTTCAACGTCGTTAGGCCCTCCCGTCGTTTATCCAAGCTCGTCATCACCGCTCGTCATCACCGCTCGTCGTCATCGTCGTCGTCGTCGGCGCAGGCATCTCGTCGTTGCCTCTGACCCCCCCCCTCGCCCCCACACCAAAACGTGCCCCCAAACTCCCCGATTTATCCACCGCCAGACGACGGGAGAACCTCGCGCAGATGGCGGAACGGTTACGAGGCGTCGGCTTCGCGCTGGCCTCGGTCGACGAGAGGTCAAATCCTGTGAACTGTGACCTCCGTCGACAAGAGGTCACATCCTGTGAACTGTGACCTCCGTCGACAAGAGGTCACATCCTGTGAACTGTGACCTCTGTCGACAAGAGGTCACATCCTGTGAACTGTGACCTCCGTCGACAAGAGCTCACATCCTGTGAACTGTGACCTCCGTCGACAAGAGCTCACATCCTGTGAACTGTGACCTCCGTCGACAAGAGGTCACATCCTGTGAACTGTGACCTCCGTCGACAAGAGGTCACATCGCCGCGGCGGTCCGGGGCCTGCGCTGCGCACGGCAGCGATCATCGTGCCCCACCCCGCCCCACCCCGACCCTGCCCCGCCCCACCCCTGACGTGGCAGCGAACCAAAGCCACCGGCTGGGTCGCCACCGTGCACCGCGAGAGCTCGCCCCGGCCTCTCGAGTTCACGCTGTACACGTGCCGAACAGGGCTCCTCCATCCCTCTCTCTCTCTCTCGATGCCACGGCAACCGCCGGGGGCGAGCTACAAACCGCGCGGCGCCGGGCTCGTCGGTGGCGGTCGCCGGAACTGCCGCCGCGGCAAAGTCCGGAGCCCGTCAAGCGGCGTCGCTGCGGCCCCGGTCACCGGCGTCTGGGTCGGTTTGAAAACCGAGAGCGGCGTCCAACCCCCCCCCCCCCCCCCCTCCTCTCCTCTGCCCCCTACACTGCCGTACCAGACGAGAAGACCCAGGCTGGACAAAATAAATTTTCTTTTAAACGCTCGGTTCAGCGGAAGAAAGAAAGGGAAAGAGAGGAACCCCCCCCCTCCCCCGCCCCGCCCCCACCGTCCCCGATACCTTTCCAGAGCCGTGCCGGGCTGGCCCGGCACGGCCCCGGCATGGCCCCAGTACAGCTCGCTTGTGCAGCAGCCTAAGGAGGAGGGGGGGGGCACGAGACGACGACGAGGGGGTCGAGGGGGGGGGGGTCACACATCACTCACCTCCGCTGCACCGTTTTGTTCAGGAACTCGGCTCGGTCGCTGATCTGCAAACGCGCAACACGCAAACTCCATGTCACTCGGGCTCGCATCCCAGGGCCACTGCCCCACCACCCTCCCCACCCTCCCCCCACCCTCCTCCCCCGTCCCCCCCCCCCACCTCTATGTGGTTATTCTGCGGGCACTCAGTGTCAAGATGTTAACTACCTCGCCCGGTATGCAGGAGGGCGTGGGTTCGATCCCGATCCCGACCCTAACGCCTGCTGTATATATGGAGCTTGCGTCTCTCTCTCTCTCCCCGTGGATATTTATTCGGGTCCTCCGGGTTTTCCCTCCAGATTTAGAATCAACGTCGCGAGTTTAGAGTATTTGGCTGCCGCTATAAATTTCCACGTGATAATGATGATGAGCCCACTCCGTTGACATATCATTTGTGATGGCCAGGTCGCTTCTGAAAAAAAGAGCTACATAGCCTAGCGGGGCCTTACCTGATAAAATAAAAAAATAAAAATTGTTTTATAAAAGTTACGTCTTAGAGGGGGCAACCCTAGTTCCGTGTCTCTCTCCGCAGAGAACAAAATCGAATCGCTGTGCGTGGATCAACTTTAATATTTTTGTGACTGCAGACGCGGAAGGAAGGAGGATGTTCTTCCATTAGACGCGTTTCTGGACGATGACATGGGACACGAGTCGGTGGATAATCGCACGCACACGCACGCACGCACGCGCAACTCTAACGCATGTGCAGCAGCTCCACCGCAGAAGCGATGCAAGGTCAGGGGGTCAAACTACAAGAGCGAGGTCAGGGGTCAAACCACGAGCGCGAGGTCAGGGGTCAAACTACGAGTGCGAGGTCAGGGGTCAAACCACGAGAGCGAGGTCAGGGGTCAAACCGCGAGAGCGAGGACTTCACGGGAGAGAGAAATGTGCATGCACATAGCGGCCGTCCAGCGGCCGCAGCAGCGTGGTCAAAGGGTACACCCCGCGAATTTAAAATGGGTGCAATAGATCGTGGCAATCGCCAAGGTAACGGGGCTGCAATACCGAACGGCGATTCGACGATTCGATGGCGGTGCAGCCCCTGCTCACGTGCAGTTAGTCGGGGCATGGCGGGGGGGGGGGGGAGGTTGTGGGTGGGGAGTGGGAATGAGTTAAAGACGTCGGAACGATGGGGAGCACACGCACGGTGGACACGATCGTATCCCGGGACCAGGATTCCCTTCCGCTCACTGCCGTTCCGCTTCGGAACCCCCCCCCCCCGGGCGAGGCCGTTTCAAGAACGCACGCCGCACTTGCTGGAATTCGGATGCCGTGCAGCGGGCGGTGAGCGTGCTGTCTGTATGAGGGGCGGAGATGTTAACTACCTCGCCTGGTATACAGGAGGTCGCGGGTTCGATCCTCAGCCAGACCTCTGATGTATATTTGGAGTTTGCGGTGTCTCTCTCTCTCTATCTCTCTCCCAACGGTCACGTGGATTTTTCTCCGGGTCCTCCGTTTTTTTTCTTTTTTCGCCTCCACGTTTAGAATCGACGTTTAGAGTATTTGGCTGCCTTCAATTTCCACGCGATGACGACGACGACGACGATGATGATGATGATCATGAGCAATCATCTGAAAAAGAGCTACGTTGCTCAGTGGGGCCTTACCTGGTCAAATATATATATATATATTTTTAATTTAATAAAAACCAGCCCGTCTGCACGGGGGCTCGGACCGCGAGCCTCCGCAACGAGCGCCCCCGGCAGCAGGGAAACAAACCGCAGGCTGCAAAACAACGCAGCCGGCGTGTGCCCCCCAGTGTTCGGAGCGGGTTAGTACTAGCAGCCAGACGCCGTGGCGGGACATGGATCAGCCACGCTTGCGCGCGCGCGCGCACACAGAGACAGACGGGAAGGTGGTGTCAAAAACCAGAAACAGGGGAACTCAACTCACCGCCACCAAAGGCTCGGGCTCTCCCAGCTCCTCAAGGTCGGTGCCCTGAGAGAGAAGAGGAATAGCCACAGAGAGGGAGAGAGAGGAGCGAGAGAGAGGGAGAGAGAGAGGCAAAACCGCGACCAAAAAAAAAACACCTGATTACACCCGCCGCGACAATCACGTCGCTTGTCCCAGCCCAAGCCACGCGCTCAGACAGCGACGGAGCAGAAGGGGGGGGGGGGTTAGACAAGAGGACGGGGAACGCGGGGGGGGGGGGGGTGTGGCAGGGGTGGTGGTGGCACCACTCGGATTGCCACCTGTTCCTGGGTTTTCCCAGGAACTTCCGCTTGTTGAGCGAGGCAGCTGCTGCTGCTGCGGCAGCTGTACACTGGGTTAAAAAGAAATCTCTTCGAGTCTTCCCAGGAACATTCAAAGTCCCGTTTTTAGTCAGTTGTGCGCGTAATAATGATGATGATGACGATGATGCACATTCAAGACGTAGTTCTGCCCTGCCCTTCTAACTTCCCAGATTTCATTCCCAACTTCCTGGATGTCATTCCCAACTTCCTGGATTTCATTCCAAACTTCCTCGACTTCATTCCAAACTTCCTCGACTTCATTCCAAACTTCCTCGACTTCATTACAAACTTCCCGGATTTCATTCTGATCCTTGGGAAGCTGGTTTAATCATAGCCCAGTCTGTGTAAGTCTACGGGGTCCTTATACAGGTAAATAGGTCCTCTGTGTGAGTCTATGGGTGTCTTCATGAATGTATGGGTGTCTCGAGTTTATAGTTTTCTATGCAAGTCTTCGAGTCTCTTTGCAAGTCTATGGGGATCTATACAGGTCACTGGTGACCGAGCTGATACCATCAATTCGCTACACTCGAGAACCCGGTTTAATCACAGGCAAGCAGTTTCAAACCCGGACTCAGATCCAGGATCTTAGGCGGTTGCTGGGCTCAGTATAATCGCTTCGAGTTTTTTGTTTTTTTACATCTCATTCTGACCGTGTCTCGTTTGCGCCATCCGTCTCTCGTTCCTTCCGCTCGATTTGTTCCCGCTCGTCACCCCCCCCCCCCCCGCCCCCCCAGTGACGCCGGAGCCGGAGCCGCCGTGCTCCTCCTCAGGTGGATTCCGACGATAATTCCCATCAAGCTGCGGGCCGATGGACGAGTTAAAGGCGCGCAGGAAAGCAGTTGAAGCGGAACGTCTCCGCCTGCCTCGGGGATCCTCCGCAGACACCAGGGAACGATCTTTATGTCCCGTCTTCCCCCCCCCCCCACCCACCGGCAACCGAAGGCAACGAGAAAGATTCGAAGATAAATCAGCAGGCGGCGGCGGCAGCAGCAGGCACCTGCAAGCATGTTGCGGAAGGTGGCAGGAGCACCAAAGCCCGAGTCGGAAGTGCACCAAGAGATGCCGGGGCGGTTAGCATGGAGGTTACTCGGAGCGCGTAGAGAAAGCAGGAGGAAATGGGCATCGCGGTGGCTAGGAGATGTTGACTACCTCGCCTGGCATGCAAGAGGTCGTGGGTTCGATCCCGACCCTGACGCCTGCTGCTGTACAATTGGAGTTTGCGTCTCTCTCTCTCTCTCTCTTCCTGCAGTCGCGTGGATTTCTCTCCGGGTCCCCCCGGTTTTCCCCCTCCGCGCTCAGAACCGACGTCGCCACGCGTTTTAGAGTCTATGGCTGCTGCAATAAATTTCCGCGCGACGACGACGACGATGAAGATGACGATGCGCCACTGTGCGTCGAGCTATCCCATTTGTGATGGCCAGCTCGCTTCTGAAAACAAGCGCCACGTGGCTCAGTGGGGGGGGGCCCTTACCTGGTAAGAATTTGTGACGCAAAACGTAAAAATGAAATCGAAATGAAAGCTGGTTAACGCGAGGGCGCTGGGAAAACTCCCGTCACCTTGCGGCTGGGCATACGGAAGCTGCGCGTGACCCCGTGACCCCGCGAGGCGAATCCACCGGGCGACTCTTCCTCCTCCTCCTCCTCCTCGTTGTCGAACGACGCGGAGCGGCGGGCGAAGCGAGCGCTCGGCTTGTCCGCCCCCTCGGAGCGCTCGGAGCGCTCGGAGGCTCCGGCCTTTGTGGAGCTCCGGCTCCAGACGCTGGGTGATGAAGACGACATGGCAGCAGCAGCAGCAGCAGCAAAAATGGTTGAGAGGGGAAGGGGAATTGACCGGGCGCGCCACGGCGTCCAACGGCATTGAGTCACGTGTGTGACGACCACTTCGCAATCCATGCCACCCGCCCACCAACTCACTCACCCACCAACCAACCCACCCACACACCCACCAACCCACCAACCAACCCACCCACCCACCAACCCACCAACCAACCCACCCACCCACCCACCAACCCACCAACCCACCAACCCACCAACAAACCCACTCACCCATCCTCTCACCCACATCACCAACCTGTGCGTGGATCAGAGCCTGGTGAGTAAAACTCCCCCCGAGTGTGGGAGACCAGCTCACGGTGGCGGAGGGAGGGAGGGAGGGAGGGAGGGAGGGAGGGAGGGAGGGAGGGGAGGGGGGGATGAGCGGGCGACACCGGCGGGCACGCGACGTCACCGGCGACCGTACCTGGTGCCGCCCTCCGGCGTGCTTGGGCTCAGCGACACGCTCGCCACACTCGCCCGCTCCGCCCGCTCCGCCACGCTCGCCCGCTCCGCCCCGCTGGCATCGTCGTGCGGGACGCCGTCGCCGCCTCCTCCTCCGCCTCCTCCTCCTCCTCCTCCTCCTCCTCCTCCTCCTCGCGCGCTCCCCGAGCTGCTGCCCAGGCGACCCGCGGAGCGCTGCCCTGTCCCTCCTCGCTGTGACATCACGACGGCCGAGAGGGTGGAGGGGTTGGGGGGGGAGGGGGGGGAGGGTAGGCGGGGGAAAGCGGCACGCAGGACAGGGGACAGAAGGCACGGGGCAGAGGGCAAGGGGCAGAGGGCAGGGGTCAGGGGGCAGGGAAGAAACAAGGTACAGGTGTGAGGCAGAGCTTAATTTCTCGCTCGATATTTTTTCCACCACGCTGCTCCGGCTGGCTTGGAGTACCCGAGGGGTTAAATCAGCGTAAGGCACTCCCACCGCTAGAGCACAAGAGGTACACGTCCCACCCGCGATAACAATACCATGCCGCTGTACACGCTACCATTGCAATAAATCCGACCGAGGACACGACGCGTCTCGCGAGGATGAGATGGAGTGCGGCCGGGGTGCCAATATAACTCCCGGAATGGTGATCCGGACCTGTCTCCGGCTGGAATTGAGCGCTGGTTCAGAGGTCGGACGAAGGTGATCTCAGGTGAGCTCAGGTGATCTCAGGTGAGCTCAGGTGAGATCAGGTGATCTCAGGTGAGATCAGGTGATCTCAGGTGAGATCAGGTGATCTCAAGTGATCTCAGGTGATCTCATGTGATCTCAGCTGAGATCAGGTGAGCTCAGGTGAGCTCAGGTGAGCTCAGGTGATCTCAGGTGAGCTCAGGTGAGCTCAGGTGAGATAAGGTGAGCTCAGGTGATCTCAGGTGAGCTCAGGTGATCTCAGGTGAGCTCAGGTGAGATAAGGTGTTCCGCCACAGAGGTCCGCGAGGAAAAGCCAAAAAGCCGGAGTGGACTACGATCCGTGGGTCTGCAGGGATTTGTGTTCATCCGGCACCTGCCGTAGTCTCAAGATTATAAGAGGCAGCGTTCTCCCCCTTCTAGATCAATGCAAAGGTTGGGAAGGTGTGTGTCAGTGTGTGTGTGTCAGTGTGTGTGTGAGTCGTGTGTGTGTGTGCGTGTCAGTGTGTGTGTGAGTCGTGTGTGTGTGTCAGTGTGTGTGTATGAGTCGTGTGTGTGTCAGTGTGTGTGTGAGTCGTGTGTGTGTGTCAGTGTGTGTGTGTGTGAGTCGTGTGTGTGTGTCAGTGTGTGTGTGTGTGAGTCGTGTATGTGTGTCAGTGTGTGTCAGTATGTGCACGAGTCGTGTGTGCGTGTCAGTGTGTGTGTGAGTCGTGTGTCAGTGTGTGTGTGTGAGTCGTGTGTGTCAGTGTGTACGAGTCGTGTGTGTGTGTCAGTGTATGTCTGTGTCAGTGTGTGTGTGCGAGTCGTGTGTATGCGTCAGTGTGTGTGTGAGTTGTGTGTGTGAGTTGTGTGTGTGTGTATGTCAGTGTGTGTATGTCAGTGCGTGTGTGTGTGTCAGTGTATCTGTGTGTGTATGTCAGTATGTGTGTGTATGTCAGTGCGTGTGTGTATATCAGTGCGTGTGTGTGCTGGGAGCGGTGGTGCATCGGTTAGCGTGACACTGTGCCACGAATCCGGCGGCCCGAGTTCGATTTACGCTCTCAGCCACCACCAATGACGATTATCTGAACCGGTCTTGGGCCTCCCCTAGGTCAACTCAGCCTCAAATGAGTACCCGGTGCGGTGTGTAAACATCGCCACTGGGGAGACAAAGCCGGTCGGGTGTGGTGCTGGCCACCCGCCCCCTCGTGTACCGTGCCGGCCTTCATAGGTGCTCACTAACAGCACTTTCCCCCAACAGTACGTTGAGGCTATACGGAGGAGCTTTGTCTTTGCACGTATTTTGCGTGCGGATGCTCTGCTGAACTTGCTACCAAGGGATGGGGCCTTACCATCAGCCCCCCAGAACCAAAGCACCTGCCTGGGTATTTGACGTCATCAGATGCTCCGTTCCCTCGGCACCACGTGAGAGATGGGGCAGTTGCAGACACAGCGGAGACGTTTACATGCGTGGGCAGTGTGCTCATGACCAGCTCCGGTCTTTGCAGACGAGGTATGACGCCGAGTCAGCCGAGTGGCATTATCTTTTCATCTGCTGCGTAACGCCGCGTGCAAGCTGAGCCATGTAGCCCGCATGCCCAGCCACCGCATGCCCAAAGCAGCTTCTGTTTGGCCGGATAGCCCGAGCCAAACGGGTGCGGCGCGGGCTGGAGAAGAGCTGGACCGATGCGGTTGTGGAGGATGCCAATACGGCCTCTATGGAGGAGGAGGTTCGTGAAGGACGCTGCTACCGGGCGGTTGGAGGCAGTCGCCCTCCAGCAATAACGGAGGGCAAAGGAGCGACGCTCACAACAACGAGCGAAGCGCTGGGCAGTTAAAACACAGCGAGTTGGCGCACTATGTGGCACAGGTGGTGCATCTGTCAGCGTTTTTAATTGTTTGTGTACGGAACTGGGTAATTGACGTGCATCATTGTGGGATGCAATTGCATGCACGACGCTATATACAAGATGAAATTATTTGTTATTATCTCAGCCAACCCATGGGTCTGTCCCGTGAGTGACCTCCGGTCGGCGAGCCTTCGACACTTCACATCGCGCCTCTGAGTGCACCAGGCCTGGCACAAGCACCGTGGTGGTGACCATCACCGCCACTCACTGGCGAATGCGTGCGCGCGAGTGTCCGTGCATGCGTGTGAGCGTGCGTGAGTCCGCGTGTGCGAGCGAGTGTGCGCGTGCGTGTGGGCAAATGCAGCCAGGGTACGATGAACTGGAGAAGTTTAGACTGCCCCTGTTCAAACAGCGCGGGACAACGTCGCACGCACGCACGCACGACAGGAGAAGGGAGGACACGCAGACAGAACGAGCCGCCCCCCCCCTCCCCACCTCTCTCCTCCCAGCCCCCCACCACCATCACCCCCCCCCCCCCCACCATTACCTCCAACGAAACGTGCCGGCATCCCGGCCGCGGGTTCTGGAAACGGTCAAACGACTCCGTCTCGCGAGTCAAACGGAGCGGCGGGGGAGGAGCGGCGGGGTGGGGTAAGAGAGAAGTTTTCTACCCACGTGACGTTACCCAAAGAACCAAAGAGAAGTGCGTCGTGAGACAAAAACAAATCGCATCTCACCAGGGAGTCACCTGCGGCTGTCAACTTGTCATCTCCGCCTTTGTCGCCCACGGAGGAGAGCTTCTTCCCACCGGCCCCTCTCCCTTTCCACTCCTCGGCCTTCTCGTGCTCGGCATCGCCCCCCTCCTCCTTCCTCTCCTTTCGCTTCTTCCTCTCCGCCGCCTCCTCCTCCTCCTCCTCCTTCTCCCGCTCTTCCCTCTCCCTCTGCTCCCTCTCCCTCCTCTCCTTCTCCCTTCTCTTCTTCCTCTCCGCCTCCGCCTCCTCCTCCTTCTCCCGTTGCTCTCTCTCCCTCTCCTCCCTCTCCCTCCTCTCCTTCTCCTTTCTCTTCTTCCTCTCCTGCTCCTCCCTCTCTTGCTCCTCCCTCTCTTGCTCCTCCCTCTCCTCCCTCTCCTTCCTCTCCCTCTCCCTCCTCTTCTTCCTCTCCGCCTCCTCCTTCTCCTCCCTCTCCTGCTCCTCCCTCTCCTTCCTCTCCCTCTCCCTCCTCTTCTTCCTCTCCGCCTCCTCCTTCTCCTCCCTCTCCTGCTCCTCCTTCTTCGTCAGCTCCCGCTCTTCGCGCTGCCCCACGGCCCGGATGGCGGCCGACGTCGAGGTGGAAGAGGTGGGGGAGGCGGCCCCACCCACCGGCGCCACCTCTTCGCCGGCGCCGTCGTCGCGCGTCTCACGCTCGCGCCGCCTCCGCTCGGAGAAGCCCTCGTCATCGTCGTCGTCTTCATCGGTGTTCCGCCCCTTGACCCCGGCAGCGATCGGAGATGAAGGCTTCACGGCCTGGGATCTGGAACGATGCGGGAGGGGGAGGACAGTGGTTGAGGCTGTGGAGAAGCATCTGGTCTTTGGCAGGGACCCTCAACCCGTGCCATTTCAACAGTGGCACTTTAACCTGTGGCATTTTAACAGTGCCATTTCAACAGTGGCATTTTAACCGTGGCATTTTTACCGTGGTACTTTTACCTGTGGTATTTCAACAGTGGCATTTCAACAGTGGCATTTCAACAGTGGTATTTCAACCGTGGTACTTTTACCTGTGGTATTTCAACAGTGGCATTTTAACAGTGGCATTTCAACCGTGGCATTTTACCCTTGGAATTTCAACCGTGGCATTTCAACCACGGCATTTCAAACGTGGAATTTCAACCGTGGCATTTCAAGGGTGTATCATAATTCCGATGCATGATAATGATGACCATCTTTGTATCCACATGAAACACTGCTTTGAAGCCAGCAACAATTATAATTAAAGTTTTGGTTAAAAATGCATTTACTAAAGTAACAAACTAGCACTGCCCGTGCATTTTGCACGGGATCCACTTCCAGACCGTGGGAGAGGCGCGACATCCACGCAGCTCTGCCGTCGCTCGCAATATGCGGAAAACAGCGGGAGATCACGCAGAGCCCACTCAGGCATTGAACCCAGGCCCCATCTGGCCACGTGGCGCAATGAGCGTCACCACTGCGCCGCTGCTGCCGCCCTGCCAACCGCGAACAACTCTCGGCCCGGGTCTTCCTGAAGACAACCGCTTGTGTTGCGATCGAAACGAATCACTCTCCACCCGGGTCTTCCTGAAGACAACCGCTTGTGATGCGATCGAAACGAATCACTCTCCACCCGGGTCTTCCTGAAGGCAACCGCTTGTGTTGCGATCGAAACGAATCAACTCTCGACCCGGGTCTTCCTGAAGGCAACCGCTTGTGTTGCGATCGAAACGAATCACTCTTCACCCGGGTCTTCCTGAAGGCAACCGCTTGTGTTGCGATTGAAACGAATCACTCTCCACCCGGGTCTTCCTGAAGGCAACCGCTTGTGTTGCGATCGAAACGAATCAACTCTCGACCCGGGTCTTCCTGAAGACAACCGCTTGTGATGCGATCGAAACGAATCACTCTCCACCCGGGTCTTCCTGAAGGCAACCGCTTGTGTTGCGATCGAAACGAATCACTCTCGACCCGGGTCTTCCTGAAGGCAACCGCTTGTGTTGCGATCGAAACGAATCACTCTCCACCCGGGTCTTCCTGAAGACAACCGCTTGTGTTGCGATCGAAACGAATCACTCTCCACCCGGGTCTTCCTGAAGACAACCGCTTGTGTTGCGATCGAAACGAATCACTCTCCACCCGGGTCTTCCTGAAGGCAACCGCTTGTGTTGCAATCCAAACGTCGTAAGTTTTTTTTTATTTTGTTATTTTCTTTGAACCTATCGACGTGACTTTAGCGAAAAGACCCAAGAATATGAATTCCTGTAAGTCAAGATTCACTCTCAACCCGACACACGCTCCTCCGCAAGGCGCGATGGTGCTCGTTTTGTTTTTGGGTGTTTGTGTGGCCTCCGGTAGCTTGGTTACACGGGCGATGATACTAATAATAATAATAATAAGCGTGGCTAAGTCCACATGGCTCAAGTCCGAGCGGTATCCCGTTGGCTCCGTGGTGTCAGGGGTGCCAGGGTGGCTATGAGATGTTAACTACCTCGCCTGGTGTGCAGGAGGTCGTGGGTTCGATCCCGACCCTGACGCCTGCTGCTGTATATTTGGAGTTTGCGTCTCTCATCATCATCACGGTGGCCATGAGATGTTAACTATCTCGCATGGTACACAGGAGGTAGTGGGTTCGATCCCGACCCTGACGCCTGCTGCTGCTGTATATTTGGAGTTTGCAGGTCTCTCTTCCCAATAGTCGCGTGGATTTTTCTCTGGGTCCTCCAGTTTTCCCCTACACATTTAGAATAAAAGGTGCGTTTTGAGCATTTGGCTGCTATACATTTCCACACGATGATGAACCACTTTCGTTGAGCTCTCATTTGCGGCCAGGTCGCTTCTGAAAGAGAGCTACACTGCTCGCTGGGCCTTGCCTGGTATCACAAAAAAACTGTTTTTTTTGTATAGTTTCGGGGAAGCCGTCATCCAGCAGTGATGATGGTGATAGATAAATCAGGGGAGGAGGGGTGGGGGGGGAGCGAAGTTCCCGCGTTATTCTGCACAGGAAATGAACGCCGTCCCTTGCCGCTCGTAAATTTAATTTGCGAAAGTTCGAGCTGCTTGAGGGCTTTTTTGGTCGTTGTGGCAACTGCAGTAGGGGAGGGAAAGAGAAACGGGGGGGGGGGGGGACACACGAGCACACTCGTTCACACTTACGCTCACACTCGCGCATGCTCACGCTCACACCCACGCTCACACCCACACTCGCTCACACTCACGCTCACACTCGCGTACGCTCACACCCACACTCACGCCCACACTCACGCTCACACCCACACTCACACCCACGTTCACACTTACGCTCACACTCGCGCATGCTCACGCTCACACCCACGCTCACACTCACTCACGCCCACACTCACGCTCACACTCGCGTACGCTCACACCCACACTCACACCCACACCCACGCCCACACTCACGCTCACACTCACACCTACACTCACGCTCACACCCACACTCACGCTCACACTGACACTCACACTCACACCCACGCCCACACCCACGCTCACAATCGAGCACACTCGCACTCACACTCGAGCACACTCACGCTCACACCCACACTCACGCTCATACCCACACTCACGCTCACACCCACACTCACGCTCACACCCACACTCACGCTCACACTCGAGCACACTCACGCTCATACCCACACTCACGCTCACACCCACACTCACGCTCACACCCACACTCACGCTCACACTCGAGCACACTCACGCTCATACCCACGCTCACGCTCACACTCATGCTCAGCACCTATGAATGGCACAGTAGGGGGTGGGAGGCCAGGACCACGCCCGGCCGCCTTTGACTCCCTAGTGGCGATGTTTACACACCGCACCAGGTACTCATTTGAGGCCGAGTCAACCTAGGGGAGGCCCAGGACCGGTTGAGATAATAGTCACCGGCATTGGCCGTGAGCGGGAATCGAACCCGGGTCGCCGGGTTCACAGCGCATAATACGAACCTCTGAGCCACCGCTCCCCCCCCCCACCCCCCCTACAAAGATGAACACCAATTTAAATACAGCCGCCCTTCTCCACTCGGTGACGGTGACGTCAGCACGGCGCCCGTGCCAGGTCAGGTGCACTTTGAGCCTATCACGTGAAGTGTCAAAGGCTCGCGGTCAGGAGGTCTCGGGACAGACCCGCGGTGCCATCGGCGGGCTGGCTGAGATGACAAAGGTCCCCCGTGTAGCCTGTCACAGACTTAACTGTCGATTCGAAGCTTTCGTGACTGCAGGGATTCATCTTCTTGGTTCTTTCGGCAAAGTCACCACCACGTAGAATGGAAATAAAGTAATAAGAATTAAACATAATAAAATGAAATTCTCACGACGTTTCGGCCGCAACACAAGTAGCCTTCTTCAGGTGAAGAAACAGAACTGTCGGGAAGACAGTTCTGTTTTTATTTCCATTCTACGTGGCGACTTTGCCGAAAGAACCCAGAAGATGTAACAGACTTGTCACGGCAAGCGCTGTTAGCGAGCAGTAGCAGCACCCGGTGAAGGCCGGCACCGTGGCGTTAGTCCATGGGTGGCCATCACCACGCCCGGCCGCCTTTGTCTCCACCCAGTGGCGACGTTTACGCACCGCACCCGGGTAACTCATCTGAGGCTGAGCCCGACCTACGGGCAGGGGCCCAGGACCGGTCCAGATAATCCACCACCGGTGTTGGCCGCGAGCGGGAATCTAACCCGGGCCGCGGGGGTTAGTAGCGCGGCGCGCTGACCGCTACACCACCGCTCCCCATAAAGACAAACGGGGTCAAAGATCCCCCGCCATGGCCTGAGCAGACCTGTCGGCGGGTGCCTATAAAGACAGACGCACGCACACCAACTACTACGTTATCCTGCGTCATCCTTAATGAGTAACTCAAACGGAATCCCATCTACGGGTCGCTGTGGCGAGGGGGGGCGGAGGTTGGAGGTTTTTTTTGTTGTTCCCTGTCCCCGGGCCAAGTTTTGGACCTTGCCGAGGTTTTCAATTACGGTGTACAGTGTACAGTACAAAGCGTGGCTTTGTTGTGGTGCAGCGGATTCTTCACAAAGGGGTTCGGGAGAAACGTTCACCATGGGCAGGGGGGGCAGGGGGGGGGGGCAGCCCGGTGGTGGGGGGCCACGGGACATCGGCGCTGCGACCCCCGCGGGATGGCGAGTCGGTGTTAGTTCGTGGGTCCGTGATTGGTCTACGGGTTCAGTGTTAGTCCATGATTGGTCTACGG